TGAGGCCATGTGGCCCGCAGTGGGCGGGAGAAGGCCGTACTCACATGCTGCCTTTCCGGTGCCCTTGCTGTCCTCCCCTGGCCCAGTGGTTTGTCCTCCTGCCCACAGCACAGCAGTCCTTGGCCCTGCGGGAAACTGCTCTGCCCCATGCCCTTCCTGGCTCTCTCCCTCCAACCCTGGTCAGTAAAGGTGGGGACATGGCGGGGCTTCTCCTACGATCCTGTGTGCCTCCCCCGCACTCCCCACAGCTCGGGGACTCACAAGATGTGGCCTCATGGGGCCAGGTGTCTCCTTGAGGTGTCCCCTGCCCTCCCCTCGACTGTTCCAACATCACCACCCATCGCCAAGAGCCCACCTTGCTTGGTGACCAGCTCTGAGTTTCTGCCAGCCCCTCTGGTTGCAGGCACCATGGCCCTCGCAGGGCCACTGGCCAGCTCTGTCCCTGCCACACCGGTGTCCTCACACTGGTGCTGTCTTGCGGGAGCGGGTCACGGCAGGTCTCCTCATTAGCTGCTAATTGCACCCCGGGCTGGGCTTCCTGGGGCTGTTGCCAGGACTCCACCTGTTGACAAGCTGTGGCAGCCCAGCGGGAAGACATCGAGCATTGATTATGCCCTAATTATGCGCTCATTGCACCAGTAATTCCCTGCAACAAATGAAAAGTGTCTGCTTGGCTGGAGGCGAGAGGGGCCTTGCTTCACAAATGGCGTAGGTGGGGGAGGAGGGAATCCAGGTCCAACCACAGGTGGAAGCGGCCACCAGCATGTTTTCTCGCAGAAAGGTGGCTTCCTCTCGGAGGTTGGAGAAGGTGAGGCCGAGCAAGCCCACTGTCACCGAAGACTCGCAGTGGCAGGGCCCACCTGGGGCCCAGGGCCTGCCGGCCAGGCCTTCCCCCTCCCCCTCCCAGCCCGGGGCACGGGGCCTGGGAGGACTCAGAGGGGACTGGCGTGGACATTGTGGCCCCCAATCTGTCCACCCAGACAGGGAGGGGCACCTGCGACTGTTAGGGGTCTGGGCTGATTTCCCCAGAACCCCCACCATGGAGACCCTCCCTTCGGAAGGAGGCCCTTTGCTGGCCACCAGCCGACACGAAACGGTCCCCTACTGGCAAAGAGCCAGGGGGTTTCGGAGGTGAGAGCTACTCCCAGTGCACAGGGCATCTCTGCACCTGCCTTGGATACCCGTACTCGGACGTCGCCTGAGTCTGGGTGTCCTTACACCTCCGTGACCACACAGGGGCGTTCTCAGGTCCAACTCCCCACTCCTGCCCCCACCCCACCTGCCAGGCAGCTCCTGGGCCCCCAAACATAATACATGGCGCTGGGATGGGCAGGGGCTATTCTCGGCGCTCGGGTGACCGCAGTGCTGGGGTGGGCGCTCCCCATGGGCTCTGTGCACCACGGGGGCCACCAGACCCCCACGTGTCCTTTGGGCCTTGACAGACCACGGCCATGTGGGCTGCAGCCACAGCATCCTCTCCCCCAGCCCGGCCACCAGGGCACCCAAGCAACCACCTCTCCCCTTTCCCACTTCTTGGGGCAGGGGCCCTAAACCCAATGGCCAGTGTCCTCATCAGAGAGGGGACACAAACTCAGAGGAGAGACAGCCTTGTGAGGACAGAGGCACAGATTGGAGAGACGCCTGGGGCCACCCACAGCTGCAGCAGGCAAAGCCTCGGCCCAGAGCTGCAGCGTCTCGGACCTGGTCTCAGACTCTGGCCACGCGGCCTGCGAGAAGATCCATCCCTGCTGCTTTAAGCCCCCGTAGTTCATGGCCATTTCTCCCTGCAGCCTGGGAAACAGACAGGGCAGCTCCTGCCAGAGGGTGAAACTCTGACACCGGCCCCAGGAGGGGACCAGGTAGAGCTACATGCCCCTGGGGACGCCTGTCCACAAGAGGATGTTGGTGCACTACCTCCCGCCCCATGACCGGCTGGTGGCTGTGGGCAAAGGCTGGCCCTGTGGGCACCCCTGAGCAGAGGCCTGGCCAGGCTCCCGTTCCAGCCTGGGAAAGGGGCGCCGTGTGGGCACACACCACCATGGCAACCCCAAGGGCCACGGCCTGGGCCTGGGAGCTCAGCCGGCCCTGGGGTCCTCCCTTTCCCTCCCTGGATTCCCAGGGTCTGGCTCAGGGACCTGCACATGGGAAGCGCATGGTAAATACTCGCTAATGATGATGATGAAACAGTTGGCAAAATATGAGAGCAGGGACAACACAGCCGTGATGTTGGCATAAGAGCCAAGGGTCTCCAGGGAAAGGGCTGAGAGTTAATGAAAGACTCCCCCCAGGGGCTGCAAAGCCTCACCCCTGGCTCCTCCCAGAGCAGCAGGAGGAACCTGCTCCAGCAATGTCGTGTGTGCACACGCCTGTGTTGGTGCATGCGAGGGGGTGTGTGCATATGTGTGTGTGTTTGAGAGAAAGAGAAATCAGACACCCCAGTCACTATTTTCTTAACCAGAAACTGGCTCTGTGGGTCACCCAGGTGTTCCTGGAGGGAAGAGGCCTGGTGTCTGTTCCTGCAGGGCCACCTAGGGGCCACCTCTGGGCAGGTGAGCCACAGGCTTCTGGCCCCATCTTGCTCTTTTACTTATTTATTTATTTTGAGATGGGGTCTCGCTATGTTGCCTGGGTTGGACGCAAACTCCTGGGCTCAATCCATCCTCCGGCCTCAGCCCCTAAGTGGCTGGGACTACCAGCGCCGCCACCACACCTGGTCCTCTACCTTTTCTTGTAATAGTGTTATTGACATATAAATTCACATACTGTACAACTCACCCATTTAAAGTGTATGATTCCATGAGTTTGGGTATATTTCATTTTTAAAAAAAACTGGTATAATATATATATAAACTGTGGTATAAAATATATATATATATAACAAAATTGCCATTGTAACCATTTTTAAGTATCCAATTCAGAGTGTTACACTCACAATGTTGTGCAACATGTATTTTTCCAAAACTTTTTCTTTTTTTCTTTTTTGAGACAGAGTCTTACTCGGCTGCTCAAGCTAAAGTGCCGTCGCATCAGCCTAGCTCACAGCAACCTCAAACTCCTGGGTTCAAGCAATCCTTCTGCCTCAGCCTCCCGAGTAGCTGGGACTACAGGCATGCACCACCATGCCTGGCTAATTTTATATACATATACATATACATATATATATATATTTGGTTTTCCAGCTTATTTCATTCTATTTTTTAGTAGAGACAGGGTCTTGCTCTTGCTCAGGCTGGTCTGGAACGCCTGAGCTCAAACAATCTGCCCGCCTTGCCCTCCCAGAGTGCTGGGATTACAGGCGTGAGCCACCACACCTGGCCTGTTTCCAAAACTTTTTCATCAGCCCAATCAGAAGTGCCCTTCCTCTATGCTCCTGGTAACCTCTGTAATACTCTTGTCTGTGGATTTGCCTCTTCTGGGCATTTCACGTAGATGAACTCACATGGCACATAACTGAGCGGCATGTTTTCAGGGCCGATCTCCACCATATGTGGTCTACAGATCGTTCCGTTTCCTGGCTGAGTGCTGCTCCTCGGCATGGACAGTTTGTCCACCATCTGCTGATGGACACGGGATGTCCCCAGCTTCTGAGCAGCCACCATCTTGCTCCACCTGTGTTTGCTCTTATAAACTTGGGTTTTGGAGGAAGAAAGATTGAAACCTGCCCAAGTATCTGCACACCAAACTCCCACGGCACTGGGAGAACCCTCCCCACCCCACCCAAAATGGAGACCATCCTTTGCCTCCAGGCCCCAGCCAGAGCCCCGCTCAATAAATGCTCTCCCACACCCCGGCCTAACAGACCCTCCCCCCATCTCAACAGTACTCCTCACTGTCACATGTTTTGTAAACCTACTCCACAGCATTTCTGTGAAACTAAGTCTACTTTGTATTTAATCTCTTCCTAATAATTAGTGGGATTACTCCGATTTCAGGCATCTCATCTTGGAGCTTGGTCCGGTATTGCCAGGCTGGAGGGACAGGTGGGGCCTGGAAGCCCACCTGGCCCAGGTGCTGGGGAAGCTCCCAGTGCTGAGGAAGAAAGTCCTGTGGGGCTGCAGGTGCCCAGGAAGGCCGCGCAAGCCAGTGGGCCTCAAGTTCCTGGGCCTGGCGGCAAACCCCACAGGTAGGTGCGGGAGTCACCAGGCAGAGTCAGGTAGGAGCAAGCTGTGGAATCAGGGCCCAGAAAGGGGTCTACCAGAACCTTCTGGAGAGCAGCAGCGCAGGCCAGGGCCTCAGAAAGGTGAGCTCACCACTGATAATCTGGGGCTGAGTCTGTTGCGGCTGGAAGTACACCAGGCTTGATCCCTGGAGTTTTCTGGAAAGTTCAAAAAAAAAAAAAACCTGGTCATTCAGTGTGTCACTGGACATATAATTTACAAGGGTTTAGAAATTGGGTCAGACTTGCATTGTACGTGAACCAAGTTATAAAATCTCCCAGGGAATGGGAGTTTTCTCAGGCTCATCTCCAAAATAGCAGAGAAGGGGTCTGGCATGCCCAGGGCAGGGCTCCCCGGGGTTGCCCGGAACCCCCAGGCCCCACTCCCTGGCCCTAAGCTTTTCACTTTCTCCGCTGCCTGAATTGCTTCAAGTGAATTGAGCGCCTACTGTGTGTCAGGCGCTGCTCCTGGGCGAGCAAAGTAAAGTAAAGCGCGGCCCCAGGCCCGCACCTGTCCGGCAGGTAAGGTCTAAGTGGCTAAAAGAACGAGAGAGGACCCCTCCGCTTCTCTGGGGAGGTGCAGAGACGGGCGCCGCTCGTCGTCCCGCCGGCTTGCTCCACCCCAGCGCGGGGGCTGCGGCAGGTGCCAGCGGCGGCAGGTGCGGCAACAGGTACGGCTGCAGGTGCAGCGCGCGTCTTGGCGGATGTGTTGGCGAGACCGGGGCGAGAGACGCTGCTCCGGGCTGGCCGGCAGAGGGCGCACACCCCGCTGGCGCTCGACTGGAGGTAGGTGCGCATGCGCCCGTGGGACGCTTTCCGGCAGCGTGGCGGAAGGAGTTCTCCGTTTTGCGCCGTTTGATGACACCTACGCGCGGCGCCCGGCGGCAGCGTGGCAGTCATGGCGTCGCCCTTCAGCGGGGCGCTGCAGCTGACGGACCTGGATGACTTCATCGGGCCGTCTCAGGTGGGCCGCCCGGGTGGGCGGACGGCCGTGCGCGGGGAGCGGCCCGGGGTGGGCCGAGCCAGGCTGCGCTTGGTCCGCCCCTCGCGTGGCGGGAAACCCCACCCCGCCTCAGTTTCTTCCCCTGAGAAATGAAATACGAATCCGAGTCCCCGATGCCCTCGAGGCCACCAGCGACCCCCGCCCGGGGCCTAAGGCGCTCTGGCCCGTTTCTTACCAACGGGGAAACTGAGGCCAGGGAGGGCTGTGCCGCCGACCCGCTCACTGTGCCCCGGTGTCCAGGCGGCCACCGGGGAGGGTTCCGGGGTCGCAGGTTCGCGCCGCCCAGCCTAGCGGGGCGAGCAGAGCCCGGGGACGGGACTGTGGCTGGCCGCTCCGCCCTGCCAGGCCTCGGCCCCGCGCTGATCTACAGTTTGTTCATCTGCATAAACAGGCGGTGACCCCCGCTCAGCCTTGAGAGCAGGTGGGATGGTGGCTGGAAGGAAGCAGGGCAGTAACTGCTCAGTAAACACTTGTGCTCCACGCCGCCCTGGGGCCAGACAGCTCCACTACATTGCAAGTGAGGCTGGTGCCGCCCTTGTCTGGGTGTGCCTATCGAGGGCAACAGCCCTGCGGGCCAGAGCTGGAAGGGCCAGAGTTAAGGAGAGGAGAGTGGGGCTGCTCCGCAGGGATAAGCTGGGGCAGGCCTCCTGCCAGGGCTGTCTGGAGCGGGTGGTTTTAGGGAAGGCAGTGGCCTAGAGAGAGAACTTAAGGAGACTGGGAGAGAAATGAACTTTTTTCCGGGCACTATGCAGGGAGGCGACCTCCATCCAGTCTTTTCCAAGCAAAGCATTCCTGCCAGGCCCTTGGCTTCCTCTTAGTAGCCAGTGTAACACGATGGTCACGGCCCCGTTCATGTTTAGGATGAAGATCAGGGCTGGCAGGCGTCTCTGCAGATGTGTGGTTTGCAGGCACTCTTAGCACTGGCCTTCATGCTAACTGGGACCTGTACAGTAAGTGGCCTTCAGTGGCAGCAGAATGTTAGAAACCTGTGCCCAGGTTTCTCCCAGTGGGCTAAGCAGCCTGGAGCTGGTGCCACTGCTTCTGTGGCAGGAGACGGTGGGACCAGCCTCCATCTCTGAGTGCATGGCTCAGGGCAGCACTCCCGTGCCACGTGGCTGCCTGCCTTGAAGGGCCACTTCCGTGGGAACCTCTGCCCACTCACAGGCTCCGGTTTGGGTCTCTTCCTGGTGTAGGACTGCATCAAGCCCGTGAAGGTGGATAAGAGGCCGGGAAGTGGTGTAGCCAAGATCCACATCGAAGATGACGGGAGTTACTTCCAGGTTACCCAAGTAAGGCCCACGGGCTTCGCCACAGCCCCTACCTCCGCTGGTTGGAAACACGCTTTCTCTACTTCATCCGCTCAGGAGGGCAGTGACCCTGAGGCTTTCCACATCTCCCCAGTCCTTCCTCACTGGTCAAATGCACCTACCACCAGGATGCCGGGGGTCAGGGTGCCCGGGGAGCAGGGAGGGGGAAGGGGAGGCAGCCAGGCTGAACAGAAGGCTTGATTTGTTCTGCGAAGGAGGCTCTTTTGCAGGATTGTGGGTCCTGTCTGCTTCTGATTGTGTAAGGTTTTCCAGTTCAGACTTTTCCTTAGATAATATCTATTTCTTCTAATTAAGTGACGATGAGATCCTGATGAGGCCAGGCCAGGTGGCGCACACCTGTAATCCCAGCACTCTGGGAGGCTGAGGTGGGAGGATCGCTCGAGTCCAGGAGTTGGAGGCTGCTGTGAGCTATGATGATGCCACTGCACTTCCAGCCAGGATGACAGAGCGGAGACTCTGTCTCCAAAAATAAATAAATAATTTAAAAAGAGATCCTGATGAAACAGTGTTAAAATTCACCCCCAGCAGTCTGCCATTTAGACTCTAAAGAACACCTTCCCAGTCCCGATGCTCAGCTCACACAAGGAGGCTGGGCTGGGGACCCTTCCTGAGGAGGGAGGAACTGCAGGTGGCTCCCCCCTGCAGGGGGCGTGCAGGTCTCTGAAGGACACGCAGCAGAATCGAGTGGTCGCAGGAAAAGAGCTGGCTATTGGCTCTGCCCCGGAGTGTGACGCTACAGCACACTCCGGAGCCTGGTGCAGTTGGGAGCACCTGGCTCTCGAGAGGGGTCCCATGAAGGAAGGGACCCAAGGAAGCTGGTGGACCCTGCTATCCAGCCATCCAGAGCTGCAGCAGTTGATCTGAGGAGCTCCTCAGCCTCCGGCTCGGCACAGAACTGCCGCTGGTGCCTCTGGGCCTTCAGGCAGCTCCAACTGTAAAAACACGGGTTAAAGCTCTCTCTTGTCTCCTGTGGCCCTCTGTCCTTTCTCCCTTCATCCACCCTTGGCTTCCCTCCTCCTCTGCCATCCAGAGCCTCGCCTTTGGCCCTGTCCTGTCCACAGCCCTGTGACTGCAGCCTGGGACCCGCAGGCCCCCCCACCCCCACCCCTGTAGGTGGCAAGTTGGCTGCTTCTCTGCGGATTGACAGCCTTGAGCTTCGTTCTTGTGTTTCTGGTGTACTGACCTAGTTTGTGCCAAAAAGTAGAGTTTGATGGCAACATGAAAATCTAGAATGTATGTAAGCATTTTTGTAATATTTAATTTTTAACCAGCTGGAGCAAGAGTGAGACCCCCGTCTCTACTAAAAATAAAAAGAAATTATTGGCCAACTAAAAATATATCGAGAAAAACAAAATTATCCGGGCATGGTGGCGCATGCCTATCGTCCCAGCTACTCAGGAGGCTGAGGCAGGAGGATCACTCTGACGCTCAGAGTTTGAGGTTGCTGTGAGCTAGGCTGACGCCACGGCACTCACTGACGCCACGGCACCACTCTAGCCCGGGCGCATCACACCGGCCAGAGCGAAGACTCTGTCTCAAAAAAAAAAAATTTAATTTTTAAAACACTGAGTGGCACATACACCCGGGCTGCTGCCCTGTCGGCTGTCAGCGGTGTTGAGAGCAAGAGCTTCCTGTGGACCCGGCCGTCCTGAAGGCGCCATTCTCGCTCCTTCGCAGGATGGCGGGACCCGCAGGCTGGAGAAGGCCAAGGTCTCGCTGAACGACTGCCTGGCATGCAGTGGCTGCGTCACCTCCGCGGAGACCGTGCTCATCACGCAGCAGAGCCACGAGGAGTTTCGAAAGGCGCTGGGCGCCAACAAGGTGAGGGGTAGGCGGCCTCCAGGACCCCGCTTCCACCTGGAGTCCAGCCCAGCGGCCTGCGGCCCGTTTTGTCCGGGGCAGCTCACGTCCTGAAGCTGCTGATCCTCCGCCTTCAGGAGACTCCTGCGTTTTAGGTCTTGCTGGCAGATTACTTGTCAGTAGTCCCCACCACTGAAAGCGTCAGGCCCGAAACTCTGGGTCCTGAGTGCGTAGGTCACGGTGACGCGCCCCGGTGGAGCTAGCGCCACCGCGCAGAACCGCCAGCATCCGGCTGCTCTGGCCCCGGGCGTCTGCGCAGAGCCTGCGAGGTAAGCGGCGGCCCCTTTGCCTTTCAGACGGCGGCCCCCGGTCAGCAGAAGCTGGTTGTCGTGTCCGTCTCGCCACAGTCCAGAGCGTCCCTGGCCGCCCGGCTCCAGCTGAGTCCTACGGACACCGCCAGGAAATTAACCTCCTTCTTTAAAAGACTAGGTAGGCGAGGCCCCGGGGGGAGCCAACGCTGTAGCTCCGAAACACGCTGGGCGCGTCGGGCACTTCCAGCCGCCGAGGCAGCGGCTCCTCACTCAGCCCCGAGTTTGGACGCCACAGAGTCTGCATTCTGGGCCTGACGCAGCTGAGGTTTTTGTTGGGTGTTTGTGCCTCTCGAGAGAAATCCCATCTGAATTCTGACCTTGTTCTTTCTCTGAGTCCGGGACTCACCCGCTGCTCATGCTATCTTTTTTTTTTTTTTTTTTTTTTGAGACAGAGTCTCATTCTATCGCCCAGGCTAGAGTGAGTGCCGTGGCGTCAGCCTCACAGCAACCTCAAACTCCTGGGCTCAAACGATCCTCCTGCTTCAGCCTCCCGAGTAGCTGGGACTACAGGTGCGCCACCATGCCCGGCTAATTTTTTCTATATATGTTTAGTTGTCCTGCTAATTTCTTTCTATTTTTAATAGAGACGGGGTCTCGCTCTTGCTCAGGCTGGTCTCGAACTCCTGAGCTCAAATGATCCACCCGCCTCGGCCTCCCAGAGTGCTGGGATTACAGGTGTGAGCACCTCGCCCAGCGTCTCACACTGTTTTTGAGCCAGTGTCATTAAAGCACATTTTCCAGGTCTTTCTTGGGTTCTGGCTCGGGGCAGTTTTGGTTGGGCAGGAGCTGGACTGGGGAGGGATGTGGGCGTCTGGAGCCCCCAGCGAGACGGGTCCCAGTGCCGGAGCGGCTGGCAGCCCCACCCTGACAGAAAAGGCAGGGGAGCGGACGCAGGTGTCCTCTGTGCGCCGGCCGCAGGGTAGTGCCTTCACCTGCAGACGGCCCTATGGCTCGGCGTCCACCCGCGACTGGGTCCCTCACACAGACGCCATGTGGCTCCACCTGGCCTGCGTGTGGTTCGCGCCTGCCTGACCCCTGTCTGGTGCTGGGAGCCCGACCTGGCGTTCCAGAGAAAACCCAGCCTGGGGCAGCCCCTGGTTCCTCAGCTGACAGGTGCAAACCCGGCACCGCCACAGCAGGAAACCCGCTCGAAGATGTGAACTTACAGATCACGGGCAGGGAGGGCCGTCCCCGGTGTGCAGGACAGAGAGTCAGAAGAGAGAGGGGGGCCTGTGAGCCAGCACCTTTGCAGGTTTCCCACGGAGGGGGTGTAGTTGGTGGGTTTCGAACGAGCAGGCGTGAGTTCCGGGGGCCCTGTGGGGTAGCTGCACAGTCCGTGAGGGGTGTGGGCTGTGTGCATCGGGGGGCCGGCCCAGCGGGCTGCATCCAGCCGTCCCTTAGCGGGTCACCAGGGAGCAGCATGCAGGGCAGGTGTCTGAGGAACGGGCAGGAGGCAGAGAGGGTGACTGGCCCCGCCGTGGTGTGGGGGCTAAACCTGTATTCACGGCGGACGCCCAGGCTACGTCACAGCACAGGAAGTCACGCCACGGAGGCTGACACTCGGGGGCAGGATGCAGGCGCTGAGCCCCGCTCTCGGGGCTGGTCGGCGGTGCTGCCCCGCTGGGGCCCAGGCGCTGTGGTGCTGGTCCCGGCCACGGCTCGAGCGTGGGCGTCCTGGGTGGGCTGAGTGGCTCCCGCCTTCCAGGGGTGCACCTCGTCTTCGACACGGCCTTCTCCAGGAACTTCAGCCTGCTCGAGAGCCAGCGGGAGTTCGTGCGGCGATTCCGGGGACAGGCCGACTCTGCGCAGGCCCTGCCCGTGCTGGCCTCCGCCTGCCCAGGTGTGCAAACAGCCCCTCGGACGGTGGGAGATGCGGGTTCGAGCAAACCGGAAACTTGACGCGATGCTGACGGCTCAGGGCGGGTTCTGGGAACGACAGGTGGGGGGAAGTGTGGGCTCCGTGGCCTGGGCCGGGAACGTTGGCCCAGGTGGGCTCCCGGAAGAGGAGCTGCCCTGGGGTCTCGGAGCCTCCTGCACTCGCTCCAGTCCCCCAGAGGGAGGTGACCGGCAGGCTGATCTCCGTGCTGGGCAGGCTAGGGCAGGAGCGTCCTCAAATGCCGTCGTGCTGTCCCGGGCACGTGGGCCCAGCCCCGGGCCGCCGTGCCCCCTGCCAGCTCCCGCGTGCCCCGTCCCGCAGGCTGGATCTGCTACGCCGAGAAGACCCACGGCAGCTTCATCATCCCCCACATCAGCACGGCCCGGTCCCCGCAGCAGGTCATGGGCGCCCTGGTCAAGGACTTCCTCGCCCAGCAGCAGGTAACAGCATCGGGCGCCCCGGGCACGTGCCAGGCAGCGGCCGCAGGTGTGTGTGCCGGCCAGCCGCCACGAGGCTGCAGGAGCCACAGAGCCTTTGGCCGTGGCCGCGTGGCAACGACTCGGCGTCTCGTGGCGGCTGCCCTGTGGCTGCCCTCAGTCCAGCACTGCCGGCCTCCTGCCGCCGAGGCCCCCTCTCTCTCACTCATCGCCAGGGGTGTCCAGGCCTGGTGGGGAGCAGGAAGCCAAGGTCAGCCGGGTCAGGGCCCCCCCGCAGCCCCTCCCCAGGCCCCGCACACTCCCCGAGGCAGGATCTGAGGCTGAGGCCACACGACCAACAGGGGAAGGAGGGAGGTGGCCCCCTGGGGTAACGGACGCCTGTCCTGCACCATCTCCCTCCCTCTGGCTGTGGCCCACTCCCCCCACACCTGTGCTTACGTCCGGTCCACCGTGACCTGCGCCCTCCTGCTTGGCCTGCAGGAGGCGCAGTGAGCAGGCCTCTCCTGCTCCACCCGGGAACACGGACGCGCTGTGGCCGGCGTCGTTCTCCTGTACAAGCCGGCCCGTGGAGTCCGTGGCACCCACAGAGTCATCAGGGAGGGTGCGGGCGCGCTGGCTGCAAGGCTGGTGATCGTGTTCTGGCCGCCGGGCGGTGGCAGCCACGCTGTCCTGTGCCGTGGTCTCCCACCTCCCTGGTGGGCTGCAGCCACTTTGGCTCCGGGCTGGAGAGTGACAGCCGCCTCTGTGCTCCTCCACGCAGCACCTGACCCCTGACCAGATCTACCACGTGACGGTGATGCCCTGCTACGACAAGAAGCTGGAGGCGTCCAGACCCGACTTTTTCAACCAGGAGTACCAGACGCGAGACGTGGACTGCGTCCTCACCACAGGTACGGTCCCGCCACGCGGCCTTGAGCCCGCTCGGCCCGGGTCTGCACAGATGGCACTTGCCGGGGTCCTGCCCATGTGTGCCTCCTGGTCTTGCCGCCGGCCGCTGACCCACCGCTGGGACCTGTGGCTGGATGGGCCCCTGGCCCCTCCTCGTTTGCTCTGGGATGAGTCTGTGGGGAGATGGGCGAAGACGCTCCATCCAGCCCCTTGGCTCATGCGCGGCCACCCCAGTCCCACGTCGAGGGGCTTCACAGCCTCCCAGACACTCACAAGACAGGGAACTGCCTGGCATGTGGCGCCCGCAGTCCAGCTACGGGGAAGGACGAGGTGGAAGGATTGCTAGAGCCCGGGGGTCGGCGGCTGCTGTGAGCTGTGGTCGCACCTCTGTGCTGCAGCCTGGGCGACACAGCGAGACCCCGTGTCTCGAAAAAAAGACAGAACAAGCCACCCAGGAGGCCGGACAGGCGGGCCCTGGGAGAACACTCGGCCCCAGCCCACCACTGCACTGCCCCTGGGTGGACAGGAGGCGCCTCCCCCCAGGGTCCTCTGCGGTGCCGTGGTTCTTTCTCACCCCTGTGGCTGGGCCCGTCCTCTTCCCACGTGCCTACCAGGGTGGGCGTTGGGGTCCTGGGCCAGGGATGCAGATGGCCAGGGACGCAGAGGACTTGGACGTTCCCCTTGGTCTGTTTGCATCCGAGTCCCAGCTACAGAGAGCGCTGTGGTTTCCGTCTCACCGCAGGGGAAGTCTTCAAGCTGCTGGAAGAAGAAGGCGTCTCGCTGTCAGAGCTGGAGCCAGCCCCCCTGGACAGCCCGTAAGTCACGGGGTGGCGCCGTGCGGGGTGGCAGTTGGGCACCGAGAACCTCGGCTGTGGCTGCAGATGCTGCCTAGCCCCACCCCCCTCCCCCTCCCCCGTACACCCCCCCACGGCCCGTCTTGGTGTCCCCAGAAGCAGCTGAATTCATGGTAGCCACTTTTTTGTTTGAGACAGAGTCTCGCTTTGTTGCCCAGGCTAGACTGAGTGCTATGGTGTCAGCCTAGCTCACAGCAACCTCAAACTCCTGGGCTCAAGCGATCCTCCTGCCTCAGCCTCCCGAGTAGCTGGGACTACAGGCATGTGCCACCATGCCCGGCTAATTTTTTCTATATATTTTAGTTGGCCAGTTAATTTCTTTCTATTTTTAATAGCGATGGGGTCTTGCTCTTGCTCAGGCTGGTTTTGAACTCCTGACCTTGAGCAATCCTCCCACCTCGGCCTCCCAGAGTGCTAGGATTACAAGCATGAGCCACCTCGCCCGGCCTCACGGTAGCCACTTGCTGATGGTCCTCAGAGCTCTGTGCAGGTCCGAGCTCCCCGGACGCAGGGGCAGGACGTCCGTCTCAGACACACCGCAGGTCCCGGGGGCATGACGAGCCATTCTCTCTCGCCCTGCGCTGTGCTGAGGCCCTGCCCTCCTCGCCCAGGCCCGGCGGCGTGTCTGCGGAGGAGCCCACCAGCCACCGGGGCGGGGGCTCGGGCGGCTACCTGGAGCATGTGTTCCGGCACGCAGCACAGGAGCTCTTTGGGATCCACGTGGCCGAGGTCACCTACAGACCGCTGAGGTCAGTGGGTGGGTGGGCCCAAGTGCCAGGGCTGGGGGGCAGCAAGCCCCAGCGTTTCCTTAGGCCACTGTCTTGGCCCTGGGTCCTCTCGCTGGGGTGGGCTGGGTGGAGGGTGGCATCCGGGCTGTGGGAGTGCGGCCTGGGTCCGGATCTGCCCTTCACGGGGCGCCCGGCACAGGGTGTGCGTGTGACGCCACATCCCTAGATGGGGGTGGGGAGCCGGGGCTCGTAGCCGCCCTTGGGGAGGGGGATTCCCATCGTGCAGACAGGGAGACTGAGGCAGGCGAGAGCACCTGCTGGACTGGAGGAGGTGAGAGAGTGAAGACAGGGGAGGGACCAGGCATCTGGGCCTCCCCTCTCGGGCGCTGGGTGACCAGCCCGGTCCGTGCCCCCAGGAACAAGGACTTCCAGGAGGTGACCCTGGAGCAGGAGGGCCGGGTGCTGCTGCGCTTCGCCGCCGCGTACGGCCTGCGCAACATCCAGAGCCTGGTGCAGAAGCTCAAGCGGGGGCGCTGCCCCTACCACTACGTGGAGGTCATGGCCTGCCCCGCAGGTAGCCCCCCGGCCGCGTGCGCCAGGCGGGAGGGGGCAGAGGGGGGGCGCCGGGCCCCCCAAGCAGCCGGAGGCGTGGGTGGGCGGGTGCTGACCCCGGCGCCCCCTGCCCGCCCCGAGCAGGCTGCCTGAATGGCGGAGGCCAGCTCAAGGCGCCGGACACGCCAGGCAGGGAGCTTCTGCAGCAGGTGGAGAGACTGTACGGCGCAGTCAGGACGGAGGCGCCCGAGGACGCGCCTGGGGTGCGGGAGCTGTACGGGCGCTGGCTGCAGGGCGAGGCCTCGGAGCGCGCCGGCCGCCTGCTGCACACGCGGTACCACGCCGTGGAGAAGACCAGCTCTGGCCTCAGCATCCGCTGGTAGGGGGCCCTGAGGGTCTGCCGGAGCCCACCTGTGGCCAGCCAGGGCTCCCAGGAAGGCTCACAGGTGCCCGGCAGTGACGTCACATGCTCCAGGGCCCCAGGGCCCCAGCGCCCTCCCGCCAAAGTTGGAGTGAGCTGCAGAATGTGCTGGAACCACATGGGAGGGGGAGCCGGCTGCACCCAGGATGGCAGCCAGGGCCTGCCGCGGTCACTGCCACCACCGGCCCGGCTCCCCTGGGGCTCCCCACTGGCTCTGCCCAAGTGGGGCAGGGAGCCCGAGGAGTCGGGAGGTTCTGTGAGGTTACAGAGCCTCTTCCAGCAGCCCAGGGCCGAGGCCCACAGCACTGCCCCTGCGCCTCCAGCTCACCGTGACCCAAGTGTCTGGGGGCAGAGCAGAGTGGGCGCCTCGCGCCTGACTGCTGGAGTCACCCCAGAGTCACAGTGTAGACAGAGGGAAACGGGGCGGGCCCTGCCTGGCAGGGAGGGGTGCTCAGTCCCCCGAAGCCAGGTGTCCACTGTTAGGAAGCCGTGGTCCCCAGGCAGGCGGAGAGCGCTTCCGTTTTCTGGGCCGGGTCTGCTCTCAGAGCAGCGGGCGTCAGTTGGCGCCCGGCTTCCCTGGCTGAGTCCCCTTCCCCTGGCTGAGTTCCCACCAGGCCTGTCTCCACGGAGCTCCACGGCTAATAAAGGCGCCCCCTGCTACCACGCATCGCGAGCCTCTCTCTCGCAGCGACCGCCGTCATCGAGAGAGGGAGGCTTTCAAAGCTTTATTCACAGCTCAGAAGCCCGGTGCACCCAGCAGGCTGTGTCCCGGACACCCAGGCCACGGGGCCCCTACAAAGAGGCCCTGCGGGTCGTCCGCCCCGGGAAGGGCCAGAGGCGAAGCACCTGCGTGCTGACCCTCTAGGCTGGTGGCCAGCGGGGCAGGGCCTCGGAGGAGGGCTGAAGGTGGCCCTCTCAGGTCCAGTCAGCCGGTGGCCGCAGGAGGGAGGTGGCTGTGGACACCGGCCCCACGAGGCTCCTCGAGTGGCTCACTTCTGCGGGGCGGCGCTCAGGAGCCCCCACTGCAGCGCGAGGAGAGCCCGTGCCTGCGGCTGGAGCGGCTCGGCCGCCTGCTCAAAGCTCGCCCGCTCCCTGCACAGTGCCTCCAGGACCTCGGCGGGCACCGCCTTGCCCGTGAACTTGCGCACAGGCTCCTCCCTGCGGGGGAGGGGTGCGGTGGGGCATAGCTGTGCTGGTCGACCGGCTGCCCGTGCCAGGGAGGATGGGGCCAGGGGTGGAGGGTGCTTAATGAGCGGCTTTCCCCAGTGCCAGGGACACTCAGCCCAATAAATCGTCCCCAGACACCTTCCTAAGTTTCTCAGTGACTGCCGAGGAGGGCAGGGAGACCCTGGGGCAGGGTTCTGGGCCTCCGAGGCTGCAGGTGTGGCTCGGGCCCTGCCCCAGGACAGCCCCCGGGGACAACAGCCACACTCACGCCACCCTCAGGAAGGGGTTGTAGAGCAGCTCCTCGCCCAGAGTGGATGGTACCGTGGGCACGTCATCCTCATCCCTCTTCTGGAACGACCACAGGCCCTTGTCACAACCCGGCCTTGTCTGACAGCCCCAGGCAGCTTGGCTCTGGTCGCCAAGGGAGCTGCGGCAGGACAGCGCCCCCTCCCCCCCAGGCCTGATCCAGGTCTGGTAACCGGAGGCCAGGCATGGCTGGCTCCCCTGTGGTGCCGCCCCTGGGTCCTGATATCCAAACCCCAGGAAGAAGACACCTGTCCCCTCCCACCCTCCCCTTAAGAAGGGAAGGAGTGGCTGTACCTTGGCCCAGCACAGCTTGGCCTGCACGTGGTCGTTGCAGGGCTCCACTTTCTGTGCAAACTCGAGGTTGCTCAGCGTGTGCTCGTGGCCACAGAACACCTTCTGGAGGAGGAAGGTACTCAGTGGGTGCAGAACGCAGCCCGAGCAGAGGTGGGGGACGTTGCTCTCTTTGGCCTGGCCCCTGGCGCGCCAAGCAGGGGGGACCCTCACCGTCTCGGGGGGCAGGGTGCCCAGGGTCTCAGCCAGACTCTGGTACATCTGCAATGCGGTGCCCTCCAGGCACCAGCCGCAGCCGGCCACCGACAGCGCGTCCCCTGGGGGAGGAGGGCGGGTCAGAGGAAATGGGGCGGAGCTGGAGGCAGGTGGGGCGGGCGAGCTCTGGGCTGCGGGTACCCGAGAACAGGGCAGGTGGGTCCGGGCATTCGTCCTCCCACAAGAAGTAGCTCATGTGGCCGGAGGTGTGGCCGGGCGTCTGGAGGCAGCGCACGTGGATGGCCCCAAACTGCGGTGGAGGGGCAGGCGCACCTGTGAGACTGGGAGGGCCCGGAGCGCCCGCCCCGCCCCGCGCAGCCCCGGGCGCGCACTCACCCGCAGCTCCTCGCCGTGCGCCAGCCTGCGCGTCAGCGCGCAGATGCGCTCGTCGGCGCCCATCACCGCCAGCCCGGGCCGCAGCCGCGCCAGCTCCGCGTTTCCCCGCGCGTGGTCCCTGCGGGGCAGAAGCGGAGTCGCGTCTGGGTCAGGCGGGAGTGCCGTGCTCGCGCCTCGGCCCGCCCTGCCTGCGCTCACCAGTGGTGGTGGGTGGTCAGCACGGTGGTTAGAGACACCCCTTCCCGGCCCACGATCTCCAGCAGCTGAAAGGGACAGGAGTTATGACGACACCGACGGTCTGGGTGGGCCAGCCCCCTGCCCACTGGGGCGCTGGGTCCGGAGTGCACAGGTCCCCGGGCGGGCCGGGACCCAGGGCAGCGCCGGTGCCGGGGGACAGCGATCCAATTACTGAGCGCCCAGCGGGTGCCGGAACAGTGAGGCGCCAGAGCATGGCAGAGAGGCGGCCCTAACTTCAGGGGAGTCCCAAGACAACCGAGGAAACCTAAACGCCAATGACGACCAGAGAATACCCGCCAAGGTGGTCGGGGGAGCCTCTAGGAGGACAAGGCTGCCTGGGCCTGCAGGGGTCTCCCTCCCACGGTGTGCCCTCACCCTCTTGGGCACGGCCACGTCCACGGCCACTGCCTCCCGCGTGTGCTCCTCGATGACCAGGTACATGTAGTTGTCCTCCAGCACGGGGATGACCTTGACCTTCATGGTCGCAGAACTCGGCCACCCCGCGCCTCCTCCAAAAGAGGCCCCCCAGCCTACTGAACCCCTTCTTCGGGCGGGGGCTCTGCTTGCCACACCCTAGGAAGGGCTGCGTGAGGCGGGGCCAGTCCCCCCACACACTGGGGGCCAAAGAAGGAGCCCTGCTCCCCGCCCCCTGGAGTTTCCCGGAGCGCTCGAGTGGATTCCACGCTCCAGGCCCCGGTTACGGCCCCGCCCCCGGGCTCCGCTCCGCCCCGCAGCCCCCAGTTCAGCCCCCGGTTCAGCCCAGCCCGCCCTCCAGCTCCGCCCCCAGCCCCGCGGGCCACGCCTTCCCCGGGCACTGCCCCGCCGCGGCCCGACCCGGACCTCCCGGCTGCCTCGCCGCCCCCTCACCCGCACGGCTGCGCCCACAGCCTGGAGGACAGACAGGCGGAGGCAGGCCTCGCGCCTCCGGTCACGGGCCTGCTCGGAGCGCGGCGTCGGCCCGGCAGCCGCCAACGGCCCCCGCCCGCGGACGCGCCCCGCCCGACCGGAACCTGCGCGCAGCTGGACCTGACGCGCGGCCGAGGGAGCGCGCGTGCGCCAAGGGAGTGCGCGTGCCCGGTGGGGCGCCGCGCGCACATCCGACCCCGCCACGCCCGGCGCTGGGCCACCTCCTCCGGGAAGCCCTCCTAGCGCCCGGCCTGACCGAGTCGTCCCCTGCGTTCCCCCTCCCCTCATAGGGACGTCTGCACCCGCCTTTCTCATGCTAGGGGTGGGGAGATCTGTCCAGTTTGTTCACCTGCCCGTTCCAGGGCTCAGCCGGCGCCAGGAAGTACATAGAAGGTGTCTAATAAGTGTGCGAATCCCCATGGCAGGGCAGGGCTCCCTGCAAGGACAACAGTGACCGCAGCCGCAGCTCCATTCCGCTCCTGCCGTCCCACCCCACCCCAGGCTGGGCGCTGTCACGCACCCTGGTTCCATCTGCGCCAGGATAAGCGCAGGGGGTGCGCGCCGCGTTTCCCAGACGAGGAGACGGGCACAGAACGATGGGTCGCCACAGATGGAAGGAGCTGAGAGCTCCCCCCACCTTCACTGACCTGCCCATGTGGGTGGGGCCCTGGGAGTCTCCTGGGACCCACAGAGGCCTTGGCAACGCACGCCACCCAGGCTTGTCGCAGCAACAGCCACCAGCCCAGGCTGTGATTCAGGCAGCACTGGGCTTGGAGCTGGCCAGAATTCCTTTTGCCTATGGAGCACGCAGCGGCCACAGGCCCCAGGCCAGGGGCTCCAAGGTGGCCCACTGAGAATGTGAGTCCCATGGAGTCAGGAGCCAGGAGGGGTGCAGGCCTCTGCATCCGGATCTGATCCTGGCCAGGGGAGGGGCTCCCCAGGTCGGCCTGGCTGGGGGAGGGCTGGTGACTCCGTGGGAGTGGGGTCACAGCCCAGGCCTGGGACCCACCTGGGGCGTCCCCAGGTCGTGCCACGAGCCGAGGACTGGCTGCAAGGAGTTCCTCGGGGCCCCCCAGCATGGGCCACCAGCCTTGAGACAGAGCTGCTGTCAGATCTCGAGCTGAGTGAGGAGCAGCGGCTGCAGGTGGGTGCGGGTCCCAGTGTGCTGGTGGGAGGGAGGCGCCCACAGACGTCACCTCTTACCGTGGCCACCCACAGATCTCCAAGGAGCTGGTTGACGTTCAGATCACGACCCATCGCCTGCGAGAGCAGCACGAGGCTGAACTCTTCCAGCTAAAGAGTGAGGTGAGCGGTCACGTGGCCACCTCGAGTGCATGAGGGGCAGGTGCGTGGCCAGGACACGTGCTGTGCGTGAGAGCGGGCTCCAGCCTGTCCCACGTGTGCTGGCAGACAGGTGCACCTGCTTGAGCTGGTTGTCCCGCAGGTCCTTCGGCTGGAGGGCCGGGTGCTAGAGCTGGAGCTGCACGGAGATGGTGCCAGCCAGGCGCGTGCAGCCCCAGCAGAGCCTGACCCAGGGCGCCGCCAAGCACCAGCCCAGGAGCTCAGGCGCAAACCCCAGGGCCCTGGACGCCGTGACCACCGCAGACTCCAGGTCACCGCGAGCACGTGGAGGGCGGGGCTGGGTGGGCTGGGTGGAGCCAGGTGAGAACCTCAGCAGAAGGCACCTTGAGGCTGGGACTGGCTCCTCCGCCCTCAGCCCTCCCTCCCCTCCCCTCTGACCCCAGAGGATGAGTAGCAGAAGCTGAGGAACAGTGTGAGCATGTAGCCCCCTAGCCCAGGGTGGGGGACCTGGATCTTGGGGTCTCATCCAGCCAGACCTTGTGTGCCCACAGCTGCCGGGGGGCCAGGAGCAGCTGCAGGGAGAAGTGGAGTGGGCGCTGGAGCGCCACAAGGCCCAACAGCAGGCGCTGGAGACACAAGTGTGAGTGGCCGCCTCACCTGTGACATGGATTAGGGCAGGGTACAATGCTTGGAGCAGCTGTTGCCAAATGGTGGAGGGAACCCTTCCCCGTGGGCCTGGCTGAGCCGCACACCGTGTCTGCAGGGCATCCCTGAGCCGGCAGCTGCAGGAAGCCCAAGAGGAGGCCAGGGCAGCTGGGCAGCGACTGGCCGCACAAGCTGTGGTGAGGCCCTACCCTACCTGTTTCCCAATCTGGCATCTGGCACATAGGGGCCCTACGAGCTCAGTAAGGTCCACTCCTCAGAACACAGGTTGAGGGCGGCCTCTGCCCCAGGTGCTGTCCACCTGCCAGGGCCAGCTCCGCCAGGCCGAGGCCGAGAATTCCCAGCTGCAGCTGCAGCTCAGAAAGCTGAACGAGGAGTACGCCTTCCGGCTGCAGCGCTGTGCCCGGGAGGTGGTGGTGAGCTCTGGCCGTGTGGCCCTGCGTGTGGCAGGAGGCCGAGGAGTCCTCAGGAGCCCAAGCCTGGCCTGGGTGTAGCTGGACAACTTTGAGGAGACCCCGTGGGTCTGCGGAGGGGGCGAGGGCACGGGTTTGGAAGGGATGGGGGTGGGCCTGACCAAGCCCGGCCCCGCCCCGGCCTGCCCAGGCCCCACCCAGACCCGGCCCCAACCCTAGCCCCGCCCCAGCGCTGCCCCGCCCCGCCGTCTCCTCCAGGAGTATGCCAACGGTGCGGTCCAGGCACCTGCAGCCACAGCCCTGCGGACGTTCCTGGAGGCCACCCTGGAGAACATTCGGGCAGCGCACCGCTGCCGTGAGCAACAGCTGGCCCGGGCCGCTCGCGCCTACCGCAAGCGCCTGGCAGATCTGAGCCACAGGCATGAGGAAGTGCTGGCCTACCACAGGTGGGCCTGGCCTTGACATGGACACCTGGGGTGGGGTGGCCCTACATGAGCCAGAGTGCGGTTTAGTGGGCAGCAGGGCCAGCCACACACAGGTGAACCCTAACAAGCCACCCAAGGCTACCTTTGATGCAGCCACCTTGGGTCCGGAGCCACTGCTCCTGGTCACCAAGCTCAGCCACCTGTGGGAGGGTCAGGTGCAGCTGGCTATGAGTCTCTAGAAGTTCCAGGCCCAGGTGCCCCCACCCTGCTGCCCCACCCTGGCCTTGGGGCGTGCGTGGAGCCCCAGAACTCACCCCAGGCCTGTCCCAGGGTCGGCAGAGCCCTAGCCCAGGGCCTCTAATTGGCCTGCCCTGTCCAGCCAACCAAGGAATCCCTACCGCAAACCGTACAGTACAGCAGGTGTGGGATACCACTTTTGCCATGGTAAAACCTTCTAGGGGAGCTGTCAGCACCAGTGAGTGCCCTCACGTAGGTGTGAGGGGGACCCAAGGGGGCGAGCAGAGAGCAGAACACTGTGGCTCCGTGCATTTCATTTCTTTCACCAACTGTGGCTGCAGGGTGGGGCTCTGGCCACAGCAGTGAACACAGTGGCCTGGCCTGGCCTCAGGTCTCTCATTTGGCTTGGAGGACACTGGTAACTGCAGAAAAGTGAAGTGGCTGCCATGCCAAGTGCCTGGGGGGTGGAAGGGGACCACAAGGAGCGGAGCTGCCCTTGAATGGGAAGGTGGAGGAGCACCTGCCCAAGGGAGGGATGCTTCTGCTGAGACCTGGAGCACCCAGGGATGAAGACTGGGTAGGAGCAGTTGCCTGGCAACCTGGCTGGCTCTGGCCTCTGGGTCTCCATGTTCCCAACTGTACCAGGGGCCCAGCTTCCAAAGGAGCAGCTCCCAGCATTTGGTGAGACAAATACCCTGGGGGTTAGCACCCCATTGGCACAGGGGTCACTGACTGAGCTGGCCTTGTGGCTTAGCCCTCCAAGCAGCCCATGGGCCCTCTAGGCCTGCACTACCCCACTCCCCATGCACCAATGGCTTCAAGACATGGGCATGGGTCATAGTGGCAGGGTGGGCCCATGCTGTCCCAACTCACTCCCAGCAGGTACCACTTAGAGGCTCTGGGAATCCTGCCTCAAGCAGGATTGCTGGTCAGCTCCTGCACTGACATGCCAGTGCCCAAAGCCATCCCTCCTCCCACTCCCTTCACAGGGGCCTGGACACGACATCCTGGGCCCAGATCCACCAGAAGCTCCAAAACTTCTCCCATGGCACCCAGGTAGTGGGCAGGGCCTGGCCGGGACCCCTCCTCACACTATGCCCTGGCTCATGACTTATACGCCCCCTGCCCCATGCCAGGCAGAGCTGGAACAGGAGCGGGCACAGCTGCTGGTCCGGGCCACTGTAGCTGAAGAGCAACTTTCTGAGCTACAGGAGTACGTGGACCAGCACCTGGGCAGGTAGGCTCTTGGGAAGGTGACCTGGGGGTCCTGGTCTGGCTGGGAAGATGACGGCTGTCCCAGGCACGAGAGGCAGACCCATCCAGGGCCAGGAAGGTGACTTAAGCCTGATGCCTCCGAGCAGGTACAAGCAGGAAATCCTGAGGCTGAGGAAGCTGGTGGGTACAAGGGACCCCTGGAAAGTGGGGGCCACATCCCCAGCCAAGCCCCAACATCCACGGACATGCAGCCACTAGACAGTCTTCCCAGGAAGTGCACAGAGCACACTCCTGTGCAGCCAGCATGGAGCCATCCCCACCAGCCCCTGCTAAACAAGTCAGCGTGGAATCCACCGAGTCTTTATTGCGTCTGAAGAGTTAGCCAGCCTGAGAAACGGGGGCCCCGGGGACCGAGGTGGAACTGGGTCCTGGGGAAGCCTTGATGGGCACCCCACAAGAGACAGCCTTCCCAGACAGCTGGCCACCATGGACGTCGTAGGCCCACACTCGGTCCAGGCCCTCACCCACCACAGCCACAGGCTGCCAGGTGGGGAGGGGGAAGCGTCCAGACACCACCCGGGCGCCGGGGGGCAGCTCTGCCTGCAGCTTGTCCTCCAGCAGTGGGAGCTGTGGGAGAGAGCAGCCAGGTAGAGGGGGCTGGGGACAGACAGAAAACAGCTGCCCATACCCAGCCGGTCCAGGCCTAGCACCCACACTGGGCTGGTCCCCAGGCCTCAGCAGCAAACACACTGAGGTGTGGCCTGCACTTCCCAGTGGAGTAACAAACCCCAGACCTACCACGCTGGGGGCCAGGAACACAGACACGTTGTGGCAGTCCCTCAGGCTCACCTGCAGGGAGAAGGGGTCACCTCAGCAGGGAATGGGGCCCCAGCCGGGGAGAGGTCTGGTGGGCAGCTCCTGATTCCCAGCCCACCCAGGTGTCAAGGGGCCCTTGGGCTGCAAGCAGGGTGGCCAAACCAGACCCCTAGGCATGCAAATCAGGTGTGGAGTCTGCAGGGGTCCAAGACTCCCCAGGTTACCTTCCAGAGGTCCTCACGGCGGTAGCAGACGCTGCCAGCACAGCCGGCCCTCCAGGCGTGCAGCTGAGCCAGCGCCACCAGCCACGGGTTTAGCTCATAGCCCACAGCCGGGCGGAGACCACACCTGTGGGCTGCCAGCACCTGTGGGCACCAAGAGCGTCGGGACCAGAATGTGGGGGTGGGCACCCATGGGAGGGGGCAGGGAAGACGGAGACAGACACACACGCACACGCGCGCCTTACGATCCTGCCATCGCCGGAGCCCAGATCCACCGTTTTTCCAGGGCGGCCTCGCAGCAGCGACAACACATGCTCCACCTGCCGCGCGCTCGCGCCAACGTAGGGCACCTGGGCAAGGAGGTGGGCGGGCAGGGAAGGCTGTCTCCTCCTGGGGGGTGTCCAATGGCCACTCCTGCCCCTCCTAGAGTCGGTCCCGAAACTCCTGGGAGGGGGCCTCCTTTCTTAGCCCACTTTCCTGCCCCAGGTGGAGCAGGTACCAAGCCACAGCCCCGCCCAGACCATGAGCCGCATCCACCCTCCCTCACGCCCCGCCCCCTCCGGCCCCGAGCCGGGCCCGCCCCGCACCTGCAGCCGCAGCGGCACGCGGCGGAAGCCGGGCTGCAGGACCAGCGCCCACACCGCGTAGGCCGCCAGGCCGGAGCCCGCCGCCAGCTGCAGCAGCTCCAGCGCGCCCAGCCGCTGCTCGCGCAGCTCCCTCAGCGCCTCGGCCGGGTCGTCCTGTTCCATGGCTGCGGGGCCCGCGGCTCAGGGTCGTCCGCCCCAGGGCCCTCCCCCGCTCGAGTCCGAGACCCTCACGCCCCGACCCGCGGTACCCGCCGGCCCGGTGCCGCGTCCCGCCCCGCGCTTCCTGGGGCCCGCGGCGAGACGCCGGAAGTGGCTGGTCCGTTGCGCGTTCCGCTCCGCCCAGGCCCCGGGCCCCGCCCGCAGGTTCCGAGTGAGCGGCGGCCCCGGCCGGCTCTGCCCCAGCTTCTACGTGGAGCCTGCGACGGTTGGCTCCGCCGGCCCCTTGTGCGGACGGACCGTTACTTTGGGCCTGTCCTGGGCGCCAGGGACCCCTGGGAGGGGACAGCGGGCAGACTCGACACCCGCGACGGCCTCACGGGTGCAACGCGAGGGAACGGGGCCGCGAGTGCACGGCCTGGCCCGGGGGTGGGGTCCCGGCCGGAGAGTCCTGGTCCCAGAACCAGCCGGAGGCTTGTGCGGTGCGGCTGGAGCCCAGGGAGCCGGGTCGAGCGCGGTAAGAAAGGCGCTCGCCAGGGGCGGGAGGCGCCCGGGCCTTGCGGGCTCTGGTCCCAGCCAACCCCACGACTCCGCCTGGGGAGACCGGCGGGGGCTCCACTGACCAGGACGCCCCCAAAGCCAGCCAGGCCCAGGGAGGATGCCCTTCCGGTTCCCTCCCACAGCTGAAGAGGATTAGCCCAGTGGGCGGGAAATGGATGAAGCTCTGGGGTCCCAAGGAGAGGGGCAGGGAGGAGGGGTTAACAATAACAGGCCACGAGACAGATGCTGGCTCTAGTGAGTGCAGTGGGAGGGGAGCCGGATGTGGCAGGCAGGGGCCACTGGACGCTAGCCCAGCCGCGGGGGCGGAAGACAGAACCCCAGGAGCCAGGAGATCACCTTTCTTCTCCAGAAAGCAAAGAAATACTGAGTTCCTGGAGACAAGCAAGTGTGTGTGGGGGGCGGGGGGAGTGGCAAGTGCAGAGACAGAGCTTTGGCTTAGCGGATGAGCTATGGCCGCTTGCTCATGAATGCCAGGGGCTTGCCGATGCACATGGCCTGGCCTGGCTCCTTCACAGCCGCCCGTGGCCCTGGTCAGGATGGAGCCTGCTTCGAGACAGAGTGGGTATGCCCAAGACCACTGCCCATTCCCCAAGTGCCAAGTGCCTCACATGCTCACCAGCACAGCGGCTCCTGTGTAACCAGCCCTGGAAGACAGGTGTCTCCGGGTGGCTCCTTCCCATACTCTGGGGAGAAGGCGTCCAGCCTCACTCAACTCAGTGTCCTGTGTTCTGGGGTCTGTGACTGGGCCCTCCCAGGAAAGACAGGTGTGCAGTGAGCTCTAGGCAGGGGTGCCACACAGTGCCCGTTCTTGCCTGCGGCCCCCGGCCTCAGTCCCAGTGCCTGCAGCAGCACCTGGCACCTAGAAAGCACTTGTCTAATAAAAGCTTGTCTAACGAACGGAATGCACCTGACCAGACCTGCCAGTGTGGGAACCCCAGTCTTCCCTCACATTCACAGCAAGCACTCTGCTCCTCAGCCTGTGGACACTCAGCAGCCAGGTGCATACCTGTGTGAGTTGGCACACACCTGGAGCTGTGTCTGATTGACAAGGACCCTCCAGCCAGCTCCTATAGCTCCAGTCCACATGCTCACCCACACCTGTTGCTCCCCATCTGCCCTTCCACTTCTTTGGCTTGGCCACCGGTCCCCAGGGCAGGCATGAAGCCCCTCACCCAACCTCTGAGACCCATCCTGGAGCACTGTGGGTCACCTGTGGCCCTGCTGGCCACAACCACTTCTGCCTGTGTCCTGTAAGAAGGGCGCTGGTTGCAAAGCCAGCACTTCTGGCCAGTCGCGGTGGCTCATGCCTGTAATCCCAGCACTCCGGGAGGCTGAGGCAGGAGGGTCGCTTGAGGTCAGGAGTTTGAGACCAGCCTGAGCAAGAGCGAGTCCCTGTCTCTACTAAAAATAGAAAAAATTAGCTGGGTGTGGTGGCACACCTATAGTCCCAGCTACTCGGGAGGCTGAGGCAGGAGGATCTCCTGAGCCCGGGAGTTAGAGGTTGCTATGAGCTAGACAGATGCCACCACACTCTAGCCGAGGTAACAGACTCTTTCCAAAAAAAAAAAAAGCACTTCTTCTGGGAGGGTCTGTGTGTGGGAGCTTCCTGGGGCAGGTGAGTAGAGGCCACGATGCACCCAGGGCAGCTGCCCAGCCTGTTTCTGAACAGATGGGCTGGGAGACAGTACACTGCCACCACTGGCTGTGCCAAGGGGACAGTGCACTCAGCCCTGGTGGGAAAGCCTCCCCAGGACAGGAGAGGAGGATGATCAGGAGAGACTCTGGCTTCCTCTTCCTCTGGTCTGTGGAGATTGGGGGTGGCGGGGGCGGGGCAGTCCAGGGAGTGGCCCAGTTGTTACTGGAGGCTGGTCCAGCTCTTCAATGAGCGTCGATGATGAGGAGGAAAAAGAAACCGTCTGAGCTCCTAGCCCTCCGTGGTTGGGAGTGTGGGGAAATTAGAAGCAGCAGCAAGGAGCCTGCAGATGGGCAGGTGGACGCAAGGCAGCGGTGCCTGCCCTCCAGGGTGGCTGCGCCCCCACCCTTCTTATGCCGGCCTCCACCATGGCAAGCGGTCTGAGTAAAAGGAACCTGCCCCCGTGTGGGCACCCTCAAGACAACCTGCCCCACGAGGGTTCCAGGGCAGGGCTGGGGGGGACCCACCAAGTGTCCTCCCAGGGCACGGCACCCACTAGGTGCCTGTGTTGGCTGAATCTGGGGGAAGGACCCTGTTCGTGGGCCCTGCACAGCCTGTCCCTCTTCCAGCCACGGTTCTTGCCTGAAAATGAGCACTTCATCCTCTCTGGGCCTCTACCCCGCCCTGTCCCCTTCCCAAGCAAGGGCAGACAAGCAAGGATTGAGAGCCTAGCCCTCCCTGGAGCTCAGCCCAGGTCCCTGGCATGGGAGCTGCAGCGCTGTCTTTCCCAGGAGTGGAGGGGTTGGGGTGAGAGGAATCCGTTCATCCGGGGCTGGGGAGACCTTGCACCCACAGCCTCACCCAGAGCTTTCAGCCCTAAGGCCTCTGGCTTTGTCTGTCCCAAACCTCGCTGGCCCTTTATGTGGCAGAAAGGCCACAGAGGAAGGCGGAGACAGCAACAATGGGGCCAGTGGCGGGAAATGGTCCTTAGAGACCCCATTGTGCACCCCGCCCACCGGAAACGGGCAACAAGCAGGACCCAGCAGAGGCGACCCCACACCCTGCGGGCTCCTTGCCTTCAGGATGCTCAGCACGTCAGAAGGGGCCTGCGGACAGAGGGGCCCATTCTTCCCCCAGGGCGGGATGAGGCCCAGGATGACTCCACTCACTGGGATGGCGAGGGAAGTCGGCGCCCTGCCAGACAGCAGCCCCTTCGCGCACAGGCCAGGCTCAAAGCTGGGAGAGGTGTCCGCCTGCCGGCCTGCACCCCACCCAGTTCGGGCCTCAGGGATTATGGCCCCTTTTCCACTCCTGCAGGTTTTAGGGACATATGGGAGGGAGCCAGTGAGTAAGCCAGGGGCAGCGGGTGAGATCCAGGTGGGATGGAGTGGGCCAGGGCAGCAAAGCTGAAGCTCCTGGGAATGGGGGGGTCCCTGCATGTCCCCCAACATAGCTCAGCCCCTACTGGGGATGTGGGTGTAGCTCCTCCTCAAACCATTCTCTGACCCACTAGCTGGATGGCTTTAGACAAGTTGCCATTCCGCCCCCCCCAGCCTCAGTCTCCCCTGTGGAGCAGGAACTGGAGCAGTGCAGAGAGGCAGGTCTGCAGCCGTGACATAATCAAAGTTCTTATTGCTTATCCCCAACACCTCTGCAGTGGGCACCGCGATGCCACCTGGGAGCCCCCTCCCCACCCACCCTACCAGCCCCCCCACCCCCAGAGGACGGTCCAGCTGGCAGCTAGCTCACAAGCCCTCAGTGCAGCGCCACCTCACAGGGGTGGAGGTGGGCCGCGTGGGCATCTGCGTAGGCACGGCTGAACTCCTGGAATCGGGGGGCACAGCCCAGCCAGGCCTCGCCGAAGCGGCTCCAGCCCATGAAGAGGAAGGTGCCCGGGCCAGGTCGGACCCCACAGCGCAGGGGGGTGCGGATGGAAGCCTGCCCCTGGCCCCCGGGGCCCCCCGCCTGGAACAGGGGCAGAGTCTGGCGCAGGACACGGTCAGCTAGCACAGTGATGACCGACTCCTGCAGCTCCGTGTCGTGGGTGACCCCATGGATGGTCCCGTGAATCACTGCATTGGGGAGACATTGGCCAGGGGTGGGCATGCTGGGCGCTGCAGGCTCCAGGCTCCCCCCCCATGGTGGGGACACTCACCAAAGTCGCTCGTACACGCAGCCAGGAGGAGCTCAGCGTCACTGCAGGGCCTGCAGGCACCTGGCATGCAGAGAGGCTGTGAGCTCAGGCCCTGCACCTTCCGGGCACCACCCAAACCCCACCCCCCACACAGGACGCAGAAGGGAGACCAACAAGCAGACCCTCCTCCAGGGCCTGGGGGTCCCAGGGAGCCCCAGAAGCACACAGCACGTGTGCTTCACCCTGGGACACCTGTGTGCAGGTGTGCACTTGCCCACACTCTGCGAATGTGCAGACTCCGGCCTGGGGTTTTGCCCAGCAATTGGTGTCCCCGTGCACTCTGGAACACCCATGTGACACACACAACCAACCTCTGGGACCCCTGTTGGCCTCCCCCAGAGACAGCTCTGGGGCCTGAAAACACAGCACAGCTAGGGTGGCAGGAGGTCGGGGAAGGGCTCCCGGGGGCAGGACAGTGACAGCCCTGTCCCCTTGCAGGGTCAGGCTCCAAGATCTAGGAGAGCAAAGAGCTGGGCCTGGCGCTCTGCAGGGAGGAGGGGAGGCGTCTCCATGGTGACCGGCTGCACACTGGACTTTTGTTGGTTGGGCTGGGGGAGGGGAGAGGTCACCGCTGGGCCAGGGAGCCCTGGACAGCTTTGGCCACGGGGCTTTGATTCTACCCCCACACCCCCTCCCCCAGCCCGCCATCAGGGCCCAGAGGCCCAGAGGTGGCCCTGCCTGGCCTCCCCTTCCCTCCATTCTGCCAGCGCTTCGCTGAGATGAACCAGCGGGACGGAGGAGGAGAGGACCAGTCCATCCCTTCCCACCCCGGACCTGTCCTGGCCCCCGGGCTTCCGAGCTGTGTGGCTAGCGCATGTGACCCCTGGCCTCAGTTTTTGCCTCTGTGCAGTGGGCAGCGAGACGCATCCGCGCCAAGCCCAGGCAGGGTCCAACTGCGTGACTGCCACCCGTCCCCCCCGACGCCACTCACCGTCCACACCAAGACCGTGGGCCTGCGGAGGCAGCTCTGGACGCCCGTCCTCGCGCACCTCAAAGCGGAAGGCGGCCACGCGGCGGCTGATGTCCCGGTGCGGCGTGGCCTGCAGGAAGAGGGCCCGGCGCTCGCGGGGACCCCAGCGCACGCAGCGGCCCCCGGCCGGACCTGGGCCCTCGGCCAGCAGCAGCTCCAGGGCCCCGCCCGCCCGCTCCGCGAAGACCTGGGCGCCCGCGAAGGGCCGCGCCGGCCGCAGGCAGGCGATGCCCGGCCGCGCGCCGGCGTCGGGGCCGCCCAGGGTCAGGCGCAGCGCCCCCGCCGGGTACAGCCACTCGATCGCGCCCTCCGCACAGGCCAGGGCCAGCTGCCCCACGCTGCCGGGCTCCTGGGTCAGGCCGCTGTGGACGGAACGGGCGGTGCTGAGCGGGCAGCCGTGCCTCCGCCCGCCGCAGCCCCCCGCGCCCCCTCCCACAACCACCGACAGCTGCGTCCATTTTGCGGAGGAGGAAACTGAGGCCCAGCGTCCTGCAGCCTCCGCGGGCAGGGAAGGGTACCGGGCACCCGCCTCCCCCAGCGCGAACCTCCCGGTCCCACAGCGCCCCCCCCACGGGGAGCGCGCGGCCCGGCCTCCGCGCCGGCCGTACCTGCCCCTCCAGCTGCACGGTCCCCCGAGTAGCCGGCGCGGGCGGCGCCAGGAGGCCACAGCAGAGCGCGCACAGCAGCGCGGGGGCCGGCATGGCGCGGGGCGGGCCGGCTCTCGGGGGTCTGGGGCTTCCGAGCCGCTGCCCCGGCGGGGACCGGGTCGGGGGCAGCGGCCGCCCGGCCGGCGTCGCCCCAAGCCGCGTGCTCCCGCCCCCCGCCCGCAGCCCCGCGCGGGCAGCCCGAGCGGCGGAGGGGCGGGCGCGGCCCGGAACTTTCCGCCAATCCGGCGGCGGGGGCGGGGCCGGAATCCGGGCGCGCGGCGGAGTGGCCGGGTGGGGGCGGGAGGGTTCGGCGCGCACTGCCCCGCTCTGCCATCATGTCCCCGGCACCCTGGCCCCTTGACGGGGTGGCGGGCTGGTGTCCACCGCCTGGGGTGGCCTTGCCACGTCCCTGAATGGGCAGTGGTGGCTGGTGCTTTCCAAGAGCGGGCCCTGGGCCCCTTGCCCGCATCCCTCCCACCCAGGTCCCGCCGAGCCCTCCGAGAGAGGAGGCCTCCCCAGAGGAGAGGGTCATTGCTCCAGGGCTGGGGGCTGGGCCAGGCCTGACCAGGGTTAGGCCCTTTCTGCGACACCCTTTCTCACGCCTGTGCTGCCCGCCCTCCATGGCTGCTCGGCACTCTGCGGGAGCCGCGGCAGGAGACACGGAGACCCTCAGAGATGCTGGCGCAGAGCTGGCGCTTCCCTGCAGCCAACACCTCCGAGTTTGGGGGGTGGGGAGTGGGGTCCGGGTGGAGATGGCGGATATGGGGAGAGGCGCACAGCCTTGGGGAGGCCCCAGCGCACTCGGTAGGGGTGGGTGGGGTCACAGCTCAGGTCACACAAGGCCTAAGGCACACACCAAGGGTCCAACCACACACTGAACCCGTTTGGGTCACTGGCAGCTTTAGCCGGGTCTGCAGGACCCAGCATAGACGCTGAGCAGCCTGTGGGTGTGACCACTCCATTTCCGTGCCCTCCAGCCCTCCTGCTGCCCTGGGCCTGGAGCCGTAGTGGACAGGTGAGGAGGCCCCGGGGGCAGGAGGTTGGATTCCACTGCCAGGCCCAGGAGGGGCAAGGTGGGGCCCGGGGCCAGGCGTCACTATAGCCAAAAGATGGGAGCAGCCAAAGCACCTGTCAGGGGTGAATGGAAAAGAGTCTGCCCCCGCAATGGGTCAGGATCCAGCCCTACAAAGAATGAAGTTCTGACACCTGCTACAGTGTGGGTGGATCTTGAGGACGTGGTGAGGCTCTGTGAAATGAGCCAGTCACAGAAAGAGGAACTCGGTGGGACTCCCTCACATGAGGTTCCTCCAGTAGTCAGATTCCTGCAGGGGAAAGAGTGAAACGGGGTTGCCAGGGCCTGGGGAGGAACGGAACGGGGCGTTAGTGATTATGGGTGTAGTTTCAGTTTGGGAAAATTAAAAACATTCTGGAGGGCTGGGCATAGTGGCTCACGCCTGTAATCCCAGCAGTCTGGGAGGCTGAGGCGGGAGGATTGTTTGAGCTCAGGAGTTGCAGACCAGCCTGAGCAAGAGCGAGACCCTGTCTCCACTAAAAATAGAAAGAAATTAGCCTGACAACTAAAAACATATATAGAAAAAACTAGCCGGGCATGGTGGCGTGTTCCTGTAGCCCCAGCTACTCGGGAGGTTGAGGCAGGAGGATCGCTTGAGCCCAGGAGTTTGAGGTTGCTGGGAGCTAGGCTGACGCCACGGCACTCTAGCCCAGGCAACAGAGTGAGACTCTGACTCAAAAAAGAAAGAAAGAAAGAAAGAAAAACATTCTGGAGGTCGATTACATAACAATGTGAATGTATGTGACCCTACTGAACTGTCGCTTAAAAACGGTTAAAATGAGTTGGTCCGAGTGCAGTGGTGTTTACAACTAATTGATCACAACCAGTTACAGATTCCTTTGTTCCTTCTCCACTCCCACTGCTCCACTTGACCAGCCTTTAAAAAAAAAAAAAAAACGGTTAAAATGGTAAACTTTATTACCTGCATTTTGCCATAATTAAAAAAATAAAAGGGTAGACTCAGCCTGGGGTCGGGCACATAGCAGGCAAATGAGGCCCTCAGAGAGGGAAGGGAGAAGGCACCCAGGTCAGCTGCCACAGCGGCTGTCTGGGAGGCAGTAGGGCTAACCCTAACCCTAACCCTAACCCACCAGCCCAGGCCTCTGAGGCCAACAGTGGGCTCCGGGCGCCCTCTGGTGGTGGTGTGAGGAGTCAGACTCACCGCATTCCCACCCCAGTCTCCCCCAGAGGGGCTGGTGCCCATGGGTTCCAGGGAGGGGTGGAGGGGAGGCGGGGGGGATTTGACCTGGTCTGGAAGGGCCCTGAGCTGTCTCCACAACTCGGCGCTCCTGCCCCCTTCCGCAGTTTTGTCTTCGAGGCTGTCACCCACGGGAGAAGACCTGGACAGAGGCGGCTTCTCAGCTGGCCCCACTCCAGAGAGCACCCCAGCTGTCATTAGCCTTTGGGGCTCTGCTGCCCATGGGACAGGGAGCCCAGAAAGCCACATCTGGCCTCGGTGGTTATGGACCCAGGAGCCCAACACCTGGTGCAGGTGCTCAGCAAATCGCTGGAGAATAAATGAGTGAACGGATGAAGGAAAGAATGAAAGACATCCCAAACCTCAGGTAACTTCTGGCTGCCTCTACCCCTTGGGGGGCCCCTCAAGGGCCCTCATCTCCAGACCTTCCAGTGCCCTGAAACCCCAAAAGGGTCCTTTCTCTATTCCCACCCCAGTCAGAACAAGAACGAGAGCAGGCCGGGTGCAGTGGCTCACGCCTGTAATCCCAGCACTCTGGGAGGCCGAGGCAGGAGGATCACTTGAGCTCAGGAGTTCAAGACCAGCCTGAGCAAAAGCAAGACCCTGTCTCTACAAAAATAAAAACAGAAAAATAGAAAACTAGCCAGGTGTGGTGGTAAGCACCTATAGTCCCAGCTACTCCAAAGGCTGAGGCATGATGATCACTTGAGCCCAGGAGTTTGCAGTGAGCTGTGATGATGAGACTCTCTCTTTAAAAAAGAAAGGAGAGAGCAGGGAACTATCTCAAGGTATGCTGGGAAGTTGGAGCATGGTGCCCGGGAGAGTGCAGGGACCAGACTGCTGTCCTGCCCGGCCTTTGACAAGCAAACACGCACCTTCTCAAAGCCTCTCAGCCCAAAGCCCCCAAGGAGAGGTGGCCAGTGGAGAGACTGTCCTGAAACCTGAGACCTTTCTGCTCCTGGCTTCCCCAGAGGGGCCTTGGAGGTGCTGGGAGTGGAGGAAAAAGGAGACTTCAGTCACTACCACATGGTGTCACCCCACAGGCTGCCCACCTCCAACCACTGCACTGTCCCCCCAAAACACAGGTCCTGTTTTTCCAAGAGCATTGATGCTGCACCCACAGTGCCTGGCGTGGGCAGCTCCATGTCCAATGGGGGAGCAACTGCAGACAGGTGGGCGTCCCCTTGGTTGAAGAACACCTGGACAGGGAAGCCACTGTGCCGGGGGCATGCAGGAGAGGCCCTTATCATCACCACAGTGGGGACTGGGCTGGTCTGGCCAAGAGCACCAAGGGTGGGCAGAGTTGCTGGGGAGGAGGGCCGGAGAAGAGCCCCAGGCCCAGGGAACAGAGGAGCAAAGGCCCCAAGGCAGATGGAGCTTTGAGCAAACCAGGAGGTACAAGAGACAGACACTGGAGGACGGGGGCAGGGCCAGCCCCCCCCTGCCCTGGACCCACTGACTCTGGGGGTGTTTAGCCTGGAGGGGCCAGTGAACAGAGTGCGTGAAGAAACAGTGAGAAAGCCCAGAGAGAAGGATCAGATCTCTCACTTCCCCAAGACCCACCTGCCCCGCCTGCATCTCAAATTTCGCCAGCCGGCCGTGAGTGGGGCAAGAGAGAGGTGTGGGCTGACTCCAGGCTGGCCCCACTGGTGCCCCCAGCTCAGCCTTTGGCCATCCAGATCCCTGCAGCCAGGACTGGCCAAATGTGCCACTCTGTGGACTCAGGTGGAGTGCTGCACCCCCGGGTGGGGCTGGGGGCTGGGAGCAGTGGGGACAGTTCCCACCGCTGAGGGGTAGGGGGCTGCCAGGAGCCCAGCAGACCCTGGGCCACCCAGGAACGTGCTCTGAGGGTGAGCACTGGCCGGGGTCTCTCGCCCAGCTTGACCTATGGAGCCTCAGGTGCTCCCGGACCCCATCAGTGACATGGTCTTTGCTCTCAGGCAACCTGCACAACCTCTAGCTCACCTCCACCTGCCACCTGCCGTCACCCCACTCCCACCCCCACAGGATCTGGCCTCGCCCACCTGCAGGCCCGAACCTCCGGGTGAGGCAGCAAGGTTCCTATCTTGGGGATGTTTTTCTCCCTTTGCTGAGAAATCCACCCCCCCACACCTTGCATCTCCTCAAGGAGCCAAAAATGCAGCTGCCGATTGATTTACTGCTGAGCTAAAAATAACCGCCAGGCTCCAGCCAGGGCCCGGGAAAATATCCCATTGCTAGGAGACAACCGTTACTGGGAGACCGCTATTGCTAGGCGACGCGTGTTGCCGTGGTGACAGCTGGGCCCTGAGTCATCCTCAGCCGTGACAGAGGGTGGGCCAGGCAGGGAGCAGAGGCCAGAGGGCACCGGAGAGAGCCCATCACTCACGGCCTCCTCTGCCCCCATGGGTACCTCATTCTGGCCTCTGAGTGGCCAGGACCGCCAAGCATACCTGCAGCGGTGGCTGCAACCTGGGCTGTCCTGGGCACTCTCCAGCCTGTGCCGCTGGGCGGAGAGTCTGTCTGGCCCCATAGAAGTCACTTTGCTCTTGAGTGCGGGGCTCTCACCGCTGGTGCTACGCTGAGGCCTTCAGGCACCCCCCTCCTCCGTTAGGCCCCAGACCCAGTTCCCAGGAGGGGCTCAGTGAGGGGAAATGCTTACCCAGGCCCTGCCAGGAAGGATCTGGCCCACATACCAACGCAGAGCCCCCAGGAAAATGCCTGGGGACCTCCTGTGATGAGCCCCAGAGCCCTGTGGGGTGACCTCTACCGGATGTGGCCCCAGCTGCCCCTCATGGCCCAAGAGTCTCAGGGTGAGAGGTGCCAGTGGCCTCTGGTCCTCATTCCTCCAGGACTCCAGAACTGGAACCCCC